GGAGGATTACACGTCTAAATCTTCCTCTATCTATATTCTCGTCCCGATATGCTGAACGCATGTTTCCATGAACGTAACTTAATGGTGAAGGATTGTAGCGAATTGAGTAAACAGAGGAAACAAGGAGGCTTGCGATAGTTAATGAAACTTGTTGGAAGATATCGTAAGAGAGGTATCTTGCCTTTAGAATGTGACTAATAGATAATACGTCTATGTAACGACCGAAAAATCCAACCAATTTAAATTTTTCAAAAACAACCCGATTTCATTAAATTATTACAAAAAGGTTTTCAATACAAATCATTTAGAGTATTCCCATAATCACATTGCTACAAAATCATGAGGAGCGGTACGATCACGCCTTCGCCTTGCCACAATCTCCTGAAGAACCTGAAAAACATAAAACCACAACTGTAAGCCCGAAAGCTTAGTGAGATACCCCCAAAATACCAACCATATATACCATACACATAACATGCTATCTCATAACGAATCACAGAACAGCCATGCATATCGGGTCTTCTGTGGGACTGGTCCACCTTGTAGGGCCTTCAGTCCACTTAGTTCACCCTCCGTGTCCAATCATGTCCTTCGAGTCTGCAGTATGGTTGGTCCGCCCGCACTGGGCCTTTAACTCACCTGGTCCACTCTCTGAGTCTACAGTATGACTGGTCCGCCCGCATCGGGCCTTCAGTCGGCCTGGTCCACTCTCCGAGCCTCGGCACGTCTGGTCCGCCCTCGTGGGGCCTACAGCCTATCCGGACCGCTCGCTGGGCCTTCGGAATAACCGGTCCGCCCTGGGTATCTTGGCCTACAGCACGAAGCAGGACCCGCCTCAACCCAACTCCAGTCCAAACAACCATGTGCACATAAACAAACAATCACATAACAATTCATATTCAGGAAACCGATCTAGCAGATCACATATCACAACATACTCTAACAGGATACCGACCTAACCGGTCACTAGCAAAGCATCACCCTACATACCAGGATACCGACCTTAACCAGGTCTCTAACGAATACCATCTTAACTACCAGGATGCAACATATCAAAGCAATAACATAACAACAGATACCCGGATCTCAATCCGATAAAAGGGTTGGCCTTGGTGCCTTAGACCCTGTTGATATAGTGAGGATAACTCACCTCGAGACTGCCGGGTGAAAGGATAAGATCCCGCTGCTCCGAACTCCGACACGAACTCCTCCACTGAACACCAAAACACTCAACTCAATATAGACCCTTAATTACCAAAATACCCCTGGAAGACAACTGGTCAACCTTGGACAAAGTCACAGTCAACCCCTAACTGAATCTACTCGTCGAGTCAACCCGATGACTCGCCGAGTCCCTATGCTCAAAACTTCCCTCAATCCGCGACCCAACTCGCCGAGTCACCCCGAGACTCGCCTAGTCCAACAACTCTGAGTCCACTCGTACCCAACTCACCAAGTCATCCCCTGCCTCACCGATTCTCGATTAGCAGAAGGAAAGTACTTTTGGTATAATCCATGAAGTGATCTCATCGTATGGCATTTCCACTACCAACCGAGTTGAAGCATAATTGATGATTAAGTATACGAATGGAAGAAGTCCTAGTAGAGCCTAAGGAAAATTTTGTGATTGTTTGGACACATTTGTATTGTTTTTGTGATAATAACTCGGAGAACTGCGAGACAATACTTGGGACGAGTATGAGTAGGTGTGAATGGTAGTGGAGGCCTATACTATCGGAAGCACAAGACTCACACTTGGACCGGGGAAAGTCACAGGGTTACCAGGAAGCTAGTAACTGATTTCGTTTTGTTCAAGTATGTCATTACCATCGTTTCAGTAATAACTAAGAAGATGATTATTATTCTGACCGTAGTGGTCATATCAAATTGAGTCCGACTAGGATAAGTATGTTACGTGGTTTAGAGAACCAAATTCGATGTAACATCTAATTTAAGCCAGAAGATTGAAGTGAAAGATAATCAAAGCGATCAATAGAAGTATTGTTCTCATTGTAAAAGATGCTTGTAGCTAGAAGTGCTACATTAGAACACGAAGTAAGGTATAGTATGTTATGGAATTTGACTCTAAGAGATATGAGTATAAGCAGACGACGAAAGGTCATTAGAATGACACATCGCGCCCATTGTCGAAATCAGATAACTTATATTAAGTTTGTTAAGAAGAAGAAGGAGTCTCTGATAAAGATCGATATTGTGACATGAAGTTTATGATTTAAAATCTAACAAAAGATAGAGAACGGGTGCAAGATCAAGCACCGCCAACAGTTAAAGAAGTCCAAGAATTAGAAAGAACATAGAAGTTACGACTATTACCTAGGATTAATAGATAACGTATGGAGTCATTATACAACCCTGATTCGTTGATGATTCTGGGATGTAATCATCCTAAGGGGGAGATAATTGTAACGCACGCAGATCCGAACTAGTCAATTTAGAGACAATGAACATCAAAAATGAGTTTTTGATGGAAGATTATTTAGAAGGAATAGTCTTAATAAAAGTTGTATCGTATGTTACAAGGATTCCGTACATATAAAGAACGCCAAAATCCGAGTTATAGCGAAGAAGTTATGGTCCGTCGAAGTTTTACGACAAAACGACACGACATAGCGCGACATAAATAGTGAATTTACGATACAAGACTTTTTGGCCTTAGTGATCTAAAAAAAGTCGTAGAATATGTTAAACTGAGAGTGTCCATAAAAAGAACGCCCAAATATGACTTTGTATGAGGAAGTTATGAATTTTCTAACATTTAGCATAGCAGTACACAGACCGAAACTCGAATTTTAGTTCAAGCGGTTTTTGACCTACGCGACCTAAATGTGTGTTGAAGATCTTATTAACAGGAACTCATGAGTGATCATGAGACGATAATATCGTATATTCTTCAAACGAAGACGTGTGTTGTAATTACGAGTCGGTTGCACATTGACATATGTAAACGCACCAGTAACTTGGTTTTTATAAAACATATTATTGTGTGTAATTTGATGAGTAAGCACAAGCGAGCATTTGGGTCAAAGTTTATCTGTTCCTTTTACCCCATGTGGATAAAAGCGATATATGTGGGGCCCTCGATGATTTAGTGATGACATCAGGCCTGAACTGATTTGATTTGTTTATTTAGTCGATCGTTATAAATCGGAAATCGGGAAACAATAGATGGATAAACAGGATGATTATAATCCATGTCTCGGTCCACATGATATCTAGAATGGATGAATATATGATCCCTTATCTAATGTACATGTCATTGACTAGGTCAGAGTTCGATAGCGGCTTTTAAGAGCCATGATTACTAGTCGGGTTGGAGTCATACTTGCAATAATAGTTATTAGACTTATCCAAGTGGGAGACTGTTGGATTAGGTGTTTAAGCCCATAACTATTATTGGTATGTACTTGAACCGAGAGTAGCATGTTCCATTTGGGTTGCATGGCATCAGAACAATTTGGATAGACTTTTGTGAGAAGAGGATGTTTATGATTTATTAATATATTATGAGTTGTAATATATTAATATGAAATCATATTATCTAATTAGTATTGATCAATAATCAGTTTGGAATTAATTTTGTGATCAAAATAGACTAATTAAATAAATGAGGATTGATTTGGTAAATCATCCATTCTTATATAGTGGGCTTATGATCAATGATTCTTCATATTGGGCTAAACACATGCGGTGATCCATGGATACTACATGGAGGTTAAAACCCATGGATCATGAGGAATGTGGAAAGTCATGAGTTATATGGTGTAACCCTAATGTGCATACTATATAAGAAGCCTCATAGCTCATGAATTGGCACCTTAAGTGATAAAAAAGTGAGGGTTATCCGCTTTTTGTGAAGAAAATACTCTTCTCTCAAGTTATTCAATTTGTTGGTGGTGTTGTGTGATTCCATTTGAGGTACAACACTTGGGGCACTATGTTCTTAAAGGTCCAAGGCTTCCATCTACAACAAAAGGTGTGACGTCTAACTTGTTTTATTACCCAAGTATCAATGTTTTGTATGCTAATTAGGGTGATACCTTGTAAAGTTCAAGCTTGCATGTATAATAGAGAAAACATAGATCCAATGTATTTAGGGTTTCATGCACACCTTAGGAGTGTTAGAATGCTCAAAACCCAACATTAAGACTGTCATGAATCGATTGTATACTATCCATATAGATTGGACATTGCATATGAATTGTTGCAATATTCATGAGTACCTAGAAAATGGAGATTTTGAGTATTGGATAAACCCACACGTAGATATTACTTCATGGATTCAATCATGAGTAATTATGAGACTATAATATATTCTATTCTTCAAACAGAGATATGTAAGTTGTAATTTACAAGTTGGTTTAAAATTGGTGTTGCGTAAACATCAGTAACATGATCTAATATATCATAGTATCACGTATGATTTGATAAGTAAAGGTTACAATTATATAGTCAAGGTTTATTCATTCCTATTACCCTAATGATAAAAGCAATATATTGGGCCCCTCGGTGATTTGATGTTGACATTATAGTGTCAGGCCCAATCAATATTAAATCGATGTGTTTAATTGTTAGTCTGATGACGTCATCACAAATAGGGAAATCGGGAAACAAAATATTGGACAATGAGATTGATTGGATTCAATGTCTCATGTCCATATGATATCATGAAGAACGAAGGAATAACTGATCACTTATCTTAATGCTAATTTCTAATTTGAATCAGAGCTTGACATATACTTCGGACAACAAACTTTGTGTAACATCCCATTTAAAACAGAATAGTTAAGTAATAAATATGGAACCCCGAGCAACAATTATTATTATTAATATATGTTATTATAGTCCAAAATCAGATAATAATTATCGGGATGTGAGTTTCGGGGGTTAAAGAATAAATTATATTGGACTTAATTCGAAAGGATCCTGGATGGCTGGGGCTTAAAGGGTCAATTATGTGCCTAAATTGAAAATAACTAGTCATGGAGGGGCCATATGGTAAGTATTCAGACTTGAGATGTAATGATTTTCAGAAGGGAGAGTTAGATTGTAAATTAAGGACTTGTTTTGAAGAGATTTGGGATAGATGGGTTGGAAAGGTAATTATGGGAGGAAATATGTGCATAACCGGGTATGAACCCGTCACCCTCTTGGTTGCCTCCATATAAAAAAGCATTAAACCCTAACCCTAATGTTAACTCCATCAGTCGTCATCACCCTTATGCCCCCTTCACCACCGATGTCGTCGTTGTTGTAAGAATCGGAGAACCACCACCTTATTCTTCCATCTTCCAGCTGCCCCTTTTCTTCGTGTTCCGATCAGGCAGGACCGGCGAGTCCAACCGACGTCGTTACCACCATTAGATCCGTCAACCGCACCGGTTGTTGCTCCCGAAGATGAAGACGATGTGGATCGTGGGAGGGAGGGAGTTCTGCCGCTGTTGCTTCCATCATTCGTTGTAGCTTCTATCATGTCGCGAATCGATGTGGGCGGCTGCCAATCGCTATGGCCGCTGCTGTGTCGCTGTTATTATCATCGTGCGCTATGTTGCTCATGCTACCGTGCAATGAACGCCACCAGGTGGGTGACTGCTTTCGGACCTCGAGCAAGGCTTGGTTATTGTTACATATAGTATTGTGCGGATTGTTGCTGCTGGAAAAACCCATGAAAACCCACCATGGTTGCCGGCCATGGTGGCTGCCACCGTCAACATTGCTGTTGTTCGCTAATTCCGTTGTACGCCGTCGCCGCCGCATACTATCCTTCTTTCCGTCGCCACCAGCCACCGTCGAAGGTGGCTGTGTGCAAGTTTTGTTGTGTAATTAGGTGTGTATTGTTGCGGTGAGAAGGTGTTGTGTGTGGGTTGTTTGGCCGGAAATCACAAGAAAGGACACCACCATCGTGAGGTGGTGGCTACCACCCCGTGCCACCGCCGACCATCACAAGGGTGGTTGTGTGTGTGTGTTATTTTAGTTTACTATGTGTGTTTATTTTTCGGTGTTTATTGTAAAAATTGTAAAAGCCAAAAGAATAATGAAAGAAACTCAAAACCACCACCGGCCGCCGTGTCGGGTGGCGATGTGCTTTAATTGCGTTTGGACCTCGTTTGGGGGATGTTTGGACAATGTGGGATCAATGTAACCCTAATGGGACTAAAGAAACCCTAATGGGCCCAAAGAAAACCTAATGGGCCCAAAGAAACCCTAATGGGCCTAATGGAACCCTAATGGGCCAATAAGGCCTAATGATACCTAAAAGCCCAACCAATGGACTAACGAACTAGTATTGGGTTGGAAAACCCTAATTAGGGTTTGGAAAACCCTGAGGGCATACAACCCTAACTTGTGGAAATTGATCAGGACACACACACAAGAATAATTTAATAAACTTGAAATATTAAATAATAATCTTTGGAAAACTAACTTAAGGCAATAATAGACTTAATGGATTAAGTTCTTAAATGGGTTAAGTAAGAAACACTTAACCTTAATCATCATTTCATGTGAAAGCCCTAATTTTGGGATTATGTGCTTGGATTCATTGGGACCCACATTTAGGTCATTGGAATGGAATTGTGTATTGATGTGCACAAAAGTACCCACTAATTTTTATATTTATAACCTAACAAACTTAGACTAACTATGCACCTATAGGCAGTGTACCTAGTCAGATTATACTATAGATTGGGTAAGTTGTGTATCGATCACAGGGAACGGTGTTACTAATTAGTCTACTTGCTATCAAATTAACCTAATTATTAACAAGTTTAAAAAGGGTTTTAACTGATTTACAAGATCAGACGATCTTAACTCAAATTCAACCAATAAGTAAAAACACTATTGTTTAGTTCAAATCCACTTCGTCCTTATGGCTAGCTAATAATTATGATTATGGAGTTGGTTATTATTATATTAGTAATTCAAGTCTAACTTTTTCAATAATTAATTAGTTTATGTAAAACTATGTATGGTCACACACAATTAAACACAATGCAATTATGATTATGAATATGCTATGTAAAATTTATTATGCAAACGCAATTATAGTTATAATCTACGTTCTCTAGCACATCTAAGTTTATTTACTTTAATTACTAACTAAGATTGGTCAATCCTAAGCTACACAAAACATGAAATTAAGCAACTAAAGAAACAAACATCAACATGCTAGGTAACTATAAATCAAACACAAGCAATTTACCAACTAAATAAATCCATGTAAAATTAAGCTATTCCTAAGTTAGAAGCTTCATCTATCTAAACAAGAGTAACTACATTCAGCTGCTCATAATAGCAACTAACAAACAAACACAAACTAAATAGGCAAACATGTTGATAAGTATCAAATAAGTAAACTAAATTAAGAACCTTTACTCCTTTGGTGTTGAAAACCTCTTTCCATAACTTCTCCTCTGCTAAAAATCGTCTTATGGTAACCCTTCAATCAGCCAAAAAGTCCTCATGTCGTAATGGGCACGGGAATTTATAGTTTTCTGATTTCCTGAGTTCACGTCGTGAATATGAGATAACTGTGTTCGGCAAGGACTCTCCCACCCGCATGCATATCTTCTAGAACTCTCCACTCACGTCGTGAACCATGACTTGTTCATGTTATGAGTACGTATTTTGGGTGATTTTCCGTTATTCTTTTCTTCAATCCTCCAAAGTTCCATATTCTGTCAATTTCAGTCCCAATCTTCGAAGATGCTTCTATTTGGCTGCAAAATAACAATTTAAACTCATAAGTACCATTATTTTGTGCAAATAACCAAAATATCAATAGAAATGTCAATAAATATTGCCTAAAATATGTATAAATATGACAATATCATGTATTAAGCCCAATCACACCATATGACTTATTTAGTAAAGTAAGGGACTTAATGGATTAAGTCCTTAATGGGTTAAGTGAGAAACACTTAACCCTAATTGTCATTTTATGTGAAACCCTAATTTCACTTGGACTTTGTGTTGGGCCTTTCTATTGGGCCTTGGTGATTAGCTTTAGGATAAGTCCCATATGAGAGACTTGGGCCTATTTTGGGAAATTAGGCCATAGATGGTCCATAGTTTGGGCCTTTATGATTATGTGACTTTGGGCCATCAGAATGTCGAATGTTGGACTGGACTAAATGGTTGGGCCTTATGGTGAGACCTTATAAAGGTTTGGGCCCAAATTGGAAAATTGGGCCATATGTTGGGCTTTGGCCCATTACTTGGCTTATGGTCTTTTGAATTGTGAGTAGGACCTTGGGTTTGGAACCAATTATTAATTGGGTATTGTTTGATGTTAACAGTTCGGGTAGCTGTCAACCAACAACTGGAGTTTTATATGCGGGACTTCAACAGTATCAGGTGAGTTATCCTCACTACACTCAAGGGTCTAAGGCACCAAGGTTGTCCCTTTGGATTGTTATCTAGTTATGTTATGCTAGTATGATCTGTTAGATCGGTATCCTATAGGGTAGGATAATATTATGTGGTACGTGGTATGATCTGTTAGATCGGTATCCTGGTAGATAGAATGATATTATGTGCTATGTGGTATGATCCGTTAGATCAGTTGTTGTCTATAAATTGTTATGTGATTATCTGTTATATTTTTATATATATATATATATATATATATATATATATATATATATATATATGTATATATATGTGTGTGTGTGTGTGTGTGTGTGCGTGCGTGCAAATATTTGTATGGCGGTTGAGGCTTATCTGCTTTGTATGAAAGCCAATAGACCTGTGCATTCTAACCTATTGGTTGTGGGCCATGAGTATTCTATCCCGAGGATGATTCGACTCATAGTATGTGGGCATTCCAACCTGCTGGTTGTGGGCCTGGGGTATTCCAACCTGATGGTTGATTGGACCCATAGTGTGTTGGCATTCCAACCTGTTGGTTGAGGGCCTGGGGTATTCCATCCCGATGATGATTGGACCCATAGTATGTTGGCATTCCGACCTGTTGGTTGTGGGCTGGGGGTATTCCAACCCGATGGTTAATTGGACCCATAGTATACTGTTTATGATTATATGTATATTGTTGTAGGTATGAGTATTTTGGGGGAACTCACTAAGCTCTGTGCTTACGGTTTCAGTTTATCAGGTGCTCCAGATGTCTTGGCAAGGCGAAGGCGTGACCGTACACATCCTCGTGTTTTGGACTTATGGTTTCTGGGATACTCTGATATTAAACTATTTTGAAAACAATTTGTAATAACTAATAGGTTTTGAATTGTTTAAAAAGTTTTAAATTGGCTTGAATTTTCCAGGTGTTACACTTTGTTTTTGGTTCAAGGTTGTACTTGCAATTGTAGTTACAAATTTATCCAAGTGGGAGATTGGTGGATTAAGGTGTCTAAGCTCATAACTAAATGATATATACCTACAATTAAAAACAAATTCCTTTTTGGGTTGCCTTTATCAACTAGAAACTGAATAGAATGGCATTTGTAGAGAGAAACTAATTTATTAGTTTATGAATAATAAATTAATTAGAAATTAAAATAAATGATTTATTAATATATTATATGATTAACATATTAATTGAAAATATAAATAATTAACTAAGAATTAATCAGAAATCGATTGGAATTAAATTTTGGATTAATTAAAATTAATTAGAGGTGCAAGGACTTACGAAGTAATTGTTCAAAAGTCGAACAAGTGAAGTGTTTCAGAACCTTCCCTTGTGGACGTTTTTAGGGATACCCTAATAGGGCATTCTTCAAGCCTCTTGAAGATAAAGAAACTGGGTAACCACTTGGATTTGAAATATTATTATTATATTCCAAATTAGGGTTTTTAGGGGTTTCCCATAAGCTATAAATAGGACCCTTTGGGCAACCTATTTTCATCCACTCAATATACTAGAAGGATAGCTGAAATTTGCATCCCCTCTCATTTATTCTTTTGTCTTCTAATTTATAGGATTTTGGTGTAAACCATTAGAGACACTAAACTTTTGGTGTTTGTTTTCCGAGGATCAGAAGAAAGGAATCAATAGAATTATTTGCTATAATAATTCTAAGGTATGTTATCCCTAACTCTTGTATTTTCGATTATACTAGGGTTTCAATAGGATTCTTGATATTCATAGTATGTTGCTATTAAACTGTAAAGACACATATCCCTATAGGTTGCATGTGCCCTTAAATGTTAAGTGATTTTTCCACATTAACATGTAATCTTATAACCTATAAACCCATCAGACATGTCCACAGAAGACCAACGATGACAACTGTTAGGAGAGTGGAGGCGATGACATCCGAGGGTGTGAAACAAAGAGGTCACCCTAGAATGAAAGCGAGAAGATAAAGTGAGGTTATATGAATGAGTTAGCTCTTATCGAAGTCATATCCTCATATAGAACATAGTGAATTCTTAGAATTAAGGTATCAGAGTAGTATTGTCATAGTTTAGGGCTTAGTTTCCTTATCTTTTTTTCGGTGCTAACATGTCAGTTTTTTCACTTACTTTCTCATGTATCTACTTTCACTGCTTCATGTCATACTGGTTAGCCCTTACCCCTATCTACTTGTATATTAATTTTGTTTATCAATTATTTTTTGAGTACAAACTTTTGTATTCTGAGTACAAACTTTTGTATCCTGCATCGCAAGCTAAT